CAACTGGTCAGTTGTCAAATGTTGCATTATTACACTGATAATTATGGGAACAAACAACAACCACTACAACTAGTCAGTTGTCAAATGTTGCATTATTACACTGATAATTATGGGAACAAACAACAACCACTACAACTAGTCAGTTGTCAAATGTTGCATTATTACACTGATAAGTATGGGAACAAACGCTACAACCACTACAACTAGTCAGTTGTCAAATGTTGCATTATTACACTGATAAGTATGGGAAACAAATGCTACAACCACTACAACTAGTCAGTTGTCAAATGTTGCATTATTACACTGATAAGTATGGGAACAAACGCTACAACCATTACAACTAGTCAGTTGTCAAATGTTGCATTATTACACAACTACAACTAGTCAGTTGTCAAATGTTGCATTATTACACTGATAAGTATGGGAACAAACAACAACCACTACAACTAGTCAGTTGTCAAATGTTGCATTATTACACTGATAAGTATGGAAACAAACATTAGTAGTTGTAACAAAATGATAAATACTACATTAATACAGGGACAAACAATAGCAGTTATAACTGATAAATACTACACTAATACAGGGACAAACAATAGCAGTTATAACTGATAAATACTACATTAATACAGGGACAAACAGTAGCAGTTATAACTGATAAATACTACACTAATACAGGGACAAACAATAGCAGTTATAACTGATAAATACTACATTAGTACAGGGACAAACAATAGCAGTTATAACTAACAAACTGATAAATACTACACTAATACTGGGACAAACGATAGCAGTTATAACTAACAAACTGATAAATACTACACTAATACTGGGACAAACGATAGCAGTTATAACTAACAAACTGATAAATACTACACTAATACTGGGACAAACGATAGCAGTTATAACTAACAAACTGATAAATACTACACTAATACAGGGACAAACAATAGCAGTTATAACTGATAAATACTACATTAGTACAGGGACAAACAATACCAGTTATAACTTATAGATACTACATTTGTACAGGGACAAACAATACCAGTTATAACTTACAAACTGATAAATACTACACTAATACAGGGACAAACAATAGCAGTTATAACTGATAAATACTACACTAATACATGGACAAACAATAGCAGTTATAACTGACAAACTGATAAATACTACACTAATACAGGGACAAACAATAGCAGTTAAAACTTACAAACTGATAAATTCTACATTAATATGGGCACAAACAATAGCAGTTAAAACTAAAACTGATAAATAATACATTAATATGGGCACAAACAATAGCAGTTATAACTAAAACTGATAAGTAATACATTAATACAGGCACAAACAATAGTAGTAATAACTAATTAGGAGTTAAATGTTGCATTGATACAAAAACACTTACATTGATAACTAAATAGCAGCTACATGTTGCATAGCTACAAAAACGTAAACAGTGATCATTAAATACCAACTAATTTTGCACCAATAGATAAACTAACATTGATCATTAAATAGCAACTAATGTTGCATCAACAGATAAACAAACTAACACTGATTATTAAATAGCAACTAACGTTGCATCGACAGATAGATAAACTAACACTCATCATTAAATAGCAACTAATGTTGCATCAACAGATAAACAAACTAATACTGATCATTAAATAGCAACTAATGTTGCATCAACAGATAAACAAACTAACACTGAATATTAAATAGCAACTAATGTTGCATCAACAGATAAACAAACTAACACTGATTATTAAATAGCAACTAATGTTGCATCGACAGATAGATAAACTAACACTGATCACTAAATAGCAACTAATGTTGCATTGACAGATAGACAAACTAACACTCATCATTAAATAGCAACTAATGTTGCATCAACAGATAAAGAAACTAATACTGATCATTAAATAGCAACTAATGTTGCATCAACAGATAAACAAACTAACACTGATTATTAAATAGCAACTAATGTTGCATCAACAGATAAACAAACTAACACTGATTATTAAATTTTCAATGTAACATTTATTGAAAGATCAAGGCATGTTTGTTCTTGTATCAATGTAACATTTATTGAAAGATCAAGGCATGTTTGTTCTTGTATCAATGTAACATTTATTGAAAGATCAAGGCATGTTTGTTCTTGTATCAATGTAACATTTATTCCAAGATCAAGGCATGTTCTTATATCAATGTAAACATTTCTATTGATGCAACATTAGTTGCTGTTCATTGATCAATATTAGTGTTTCTCTTTCAACTGATGTAACCTTAGTTGCTGTTCAATGATCACTGTTAGTTTGTCTATCTACCAATACAACATTAGTTGTTATTTAATAATCAGTGTTATTTTATCTCTCTGTTGATGCAACATTAGTTGCTATTTAATGATCATTGTTAGTTTGTCTATCTACTGATACAACATTAGTTGCTCAAGGACAAACATGCCTTGATCTTTCAATAAATGTTATATTGATACAAGAACAAACATGCCTTGATCTTTCAATAAATGTTACATTGAAACAAGAACAAACATGCCTTGATCTTTCAATAAATGTTACATTGATACAAGGACAAACATGCCTTGATCTTTCAATAAATGTTACACTGATACAAGGACAAACATGCCTTGATCTTTCAATAAATGTTATATTGATACAAGAACAAACATGCCTTGATCTTTCAATAAATGTTATATTGATACAAGAACAAACATTCCTTGATCTTTCAATAAATGTTACATTGAAACAAGAACAAACATGCCTTGATCTTTCAATAAATGTTACATTGAAACAAGAACAAACATGCCTTGATCTTTCAATAAATGTTACATTGAAACAAGAACAAACATGCCTTGATCTTTCAATAAATGTTACACTGATACAAGAACAAACATGCTTTGATCACTAATTAACAACAAATAACAATCAACACTATCTGAAAAGTCGCGATATATTTCACAAAATATTAAACCTACAAATTTAGAAAAAAAACATTTTTATTTGGTTGGAGGTGAGTTATCTTTGACAACTGTTATAATTTCAGATAGAATAAAATAACGATTCTACTTTAATGAAGGCAATCCATGAAGCTAAAGTGACTCAGTTCTTTATGACCGTTGCAACCGTAGGTCAAGATTTCTTCATCCCGATCAGCGTACTTCATGTAGCACGTGCTAATCTCTCCTGTGTACCAAATATCAGCAGATTTACATTTAGGTGTCAGCAAGCAACGCCTTGGACATTCGCCGATGGAAGTAACCGAGAAGGCTATAAAGTCGTAACCATGGAGACACGCATTAGGTGTGACCGTGAAATGAGCTATTACAAAAAAAGAAAATTAACGTTAGTAAAAAAATTTTCTTTTTTATTGCTAGTAAAGCATTCCATAATCAGAGCCCTCAAAGCCAGTGAAAAACGTACAAAGAAGTAATAAAACTACAAATACTTTTGTTTGATGTTACACCTCCCAATGACTCAGCGGTATGTCTGAAGACTTATGACGCTAAAAACTAGGTTTTAATACTCGTGGTGGGCACAGCACAGGTAGCCCGTTGTTGAACTATCTGTTTAACAAACAGTTGGCATAGCCCAGTTTACATACATTTAGTCAGCAATATATGCCCCCAGTGGCACAGTGGTATGTCTGCGGACTTACAACGCTAGCATCCGGGTTTCGATACCCGTGGTGGGCAGAGCCCAGATAGCCCATTGTGTAGCTTTGTGCTTAATTACAAACAAATAAAATAAACAGCAATATATATATATATATATATTCTAAGAGTAATAACTATTTGATGTAAGTCCTTTCGATGGTTAGCACAGCTGTTAGCACAGCTTGTAAGTCTGATGATACCATACATTACAAAACTTAAACTATACGATATTTCGATGGTTAGCACAGCTGGTAAGTCTGATGATACAATACATTACAATACTTAAACTATACGATATTTCGATGGTTAGCACAGCTGGTAAGTCTGATGATACAATACATTTACAAAACTTAAACTATACGGATATTTCGATGGTTAGCACAGCTGGT